GCCTTTCCTGTTGCGGAGCACAGGCTCCGGACGCGCAGGCTCAGCAGCCATGGCTCACGGGCCCCGGACCGGGGCACGAACCCATGTCCCCTGCATCGGCAGGCGGACTCTCAACCACTGCGCCACCAGGGAAGCCCAACATCATGTTTCTTAACTCACAATAGCACCCCCCACCTCCCTGCTGCTTCTCTCTGTAATTCCATCAAGAATGGCTCTCAGCTAGTAAGTATGTTATAAATGGTCTCATACATTTTGTTACACCAATATGCTACTGTCACAAAGCTCTCTATATTTTACTTTAAAAAGGAAACACCTTTTAACCAAATGGGTTGTATGTCTAATACTAGCACTTCAGTCACTAGTAAAAAGGTGAATAGAAACATGGCGGACAGGATTGGTGCCTCAAATCACTGGCAACACCACGTCCTTGTCCTCAGGTTAGACTTGAGGCTTTCATCATTTCCGTGCCGCACTCACTGGTGAATTTTAGGATCATCAGAAACTTTTAGTCCTTTAATGTAGTAGTAAAATTTTAAATGTACTTTAAAAAAATCTAATTAATCATCTTTGCTCTATGACATGTATTTTTCTAAATAGCAAGATTTAAAATAATAAATGATATGGAAAAGTTGAGTATTAGAAATGTATAGTTAATTCTTCAATCCCATTTTTTAAATGGGATGGTAAATGACATTTTAGAAAATATAATCAACCAGAATTATAATCGGAAAAAAGGAGAGACTAAACCTCAATGTGTGCTTAGTCTGTGTTTGAGGCCTACCCAGTACTTGTTCCCTCCTTTTAACTCTCAATTGTTATCAAGTAAACATCGACATGGCCCACACGCCCATGTGTTGCCACAGGTGATGTGGATAACTTGGAGAAAAAGGTGGATGTTCCTATTCTAATACGTTTGCTCCTTTTTAAAGTCAGCTCTACTGAGGTAAATTTAAATATAATAAAAATCACCAATTTTGAGTTTGCAATTAAATGTGTTTTGACAAATGTACATAGTTACAGAACCATCATAACCATGATATAGAACATTTCTATCAACCCCAAAGTTCCCTCATGCCCATTCCCTACCTCCAGGTCCTGGAAACACTGACCAGTCACTCTATTGTTTACTTTTCTAGAATTTCATGTAAATGAAATCATAAAATATGTCTTTGGTACCTGGCTTCTTTAAGCATACTGTCTTTGAGATTTACCTAGGTGTCATATGTAACAATGGCTTTTTATTACTATTTTATTACTACTATTGCTAGTATTCCATTGTAAGGCTATACCACGATTTGTTTATCTATTTAGCAGTTAATGGATATTTAGGTTGTTTCCAGGTTTTAGCTATTATGAATACATCTTTCAGCCTTATTTTAATAACAACCAAGAAATTCTTCTTTACTGCCATTGCTTTTATTCCAATTTGTAAAGTATGGTAACTATAAGTTTGGTTAAGTGAGATCATCAATATTTTGAGTAAGAACTGAATGAAAACCATTTGGGGAAGCCTGGCCCAGCTATCCTTTACAAGGCTCTCACACCCAGCTGGAATTGACTTATTTTTCTATGCTTTAGTAGTTTTATTCCCTAGTACCTTTCTTGTGGTATATTTCACCTTTTACCTTCTATTTTGGCCATTTTGAATCCCCTATTGGGACAATGACTATGCCATATCTATGTATCTTTGTTTGACCTGTGCCTAACAGAGCGTCTTTCAGAGTTATGTTAAATATTAAATGAATTGGTTTGGATTCTTCTCTGATCACTTCCTTGGATAACTAAGTGATTTTTATTAATTCTTTCAACCCATTATTGCATTACCTGTAGGGTGTTATAAAATAAGTTTCCTAAATCAAAATATTGCAAATCCCACCTCTGCCTTTACAGCATTTACAGTAACCTTTGAGCAGATTTCTAATTCTTTATGACCCTCCTTTTTTTTCTTTTTCCAACTATAATGTGAGAGGATTTGATTAAACAAATTTGAGATTCCTTCTCAGTTCTAAAATGTTACGGTTTTATAAAAAACCTGCTAAGTCAGAAAGAACCTGCAAGGTGAGAGGGCAACATAGAAGGAAAGGGGTATATAAAGAAGGTAGGAAAGCAAAAATATGTCGTGTTTTTATGCAATTGAAAATGAAATGTGTAGTTTCTTAAACAGAGTAAAAGTTGGGCAAGGATTCAAGAAACAAAAGTTGATGTGTAACAACTTTTGTTGGTAGAACATTCTTTTAAATTGTTTTATAAGGAGAACTACAATAAGACAGTAGTTCTTTTCTCTAGTAAAGTTAGGAGATCAGTAATTAGGTTCCTCATTCTGAAAATTACTGGTGAGACTGGCAACCCCTTTGTGTAAGTGAACCATAAACCCCAGTTTACAAAGGGTAGTCCCAGTTATGACTGTTTGTTTTGGTATAATTACTTATTATTAATTATTAGTAATGCCCGTTTTCACTCTCAAATGGGTATTGGTTTTGAACAATGCATTTTTTGGTCACCCGATTACTGGGGATCTCAGAGTCCTAGGTCTCCCGACCTATATCCCCTGCTCTAGCTAGGGTTCTGTCTCGGGGATGGTTACTCAGTGAAAGAATCTGCAGTGCTCTCTTCAAGCTAACCCCTTCAGCGGCAGCATCTCCATCTGGCAACACCATTAGGGCCGTTCTCTTCCATACACTCTTCTCTCTTTTTTTTCACGTCTGGAAAGTTTTTGCCTCCTCATATAAGACTTGAGCAGATTCTGCAGCTCCACTTAAAGACCGCAGCCTTCTTTCCCCTATGGCAAGTATATAAGAACATCCGTTCATTAAACATTCACTGCCCGCTTTCTGTGTGCCATGTACTGAGCTGGGCTCATGGTATAGAGAGACAAAGATGGCAGAAAGGGACAGACAAGTAAACCAATAACCAAAGTGTGATAAATGCTATCTTCGTAGGATGCATACATACACAACATATACTGATGTCACTGTAGAAAGAACAGTTAATTTAGGAGAGAGGGGAAAGAGAGGAGGGGAATTTTGACCAGGTCCTAAAGGAGCAGTATACATTGAGCAGGGGTGACGGGGTGGTGGGAGGCAGAGAGGGGTGAGGTGGACGGGGGTAAAAAACCATCCCAGCAAAACGCCGAGACGGGCTTCCCTGGTGGCGCAGTGGTTGAGAGTCCACCTGCTGATGCAGGGGACACGGGTTCGTGTCCCGGTCTGGGAAGATCCCACATGCCACGGAGTGGCTGGGCCCGTGAGCCATGGCCACTGAGCCTGCGCGTCCGGAGCCTGTGCTTCACAACGGGAGAGGCCACAACAGTGAGAGGCCCGCGTACCGCAAAGAAAGAAACAAACAAATAAACAAAAAAAAACAAAAAAAACCACGCTGAGACATGTGCAGCTTTCCATGGCCAGAAAATATGTGGTACGACTGGGGAGGCAAAAAGTGGCCTCGACGGGCCATCCATGTGTTGCTGTATACCAGTTTGGAACTGAGTGTGAGGCAAGACCTTGGCGCAAGTCCACGGGGTGTTGTTACTAGAAGTACCAGAAGGGACCTTATTTCACATTTAGCGTGGCCCCCTGATGATCCATTTGATTGAGGTGTGGGTGTATTTTCATTCTGGAATTTTGTACTACAACATTACCACATTCATTGACCTATTACAATACAGACTTTCCTTATGTTGCTTTATGATTAGAAGCCAGTGGTTTGAAGTTCCACAGCAGTACATAGACTAGTAGTGATAGCTTTATGGAATTGTTTATTTTTAGTTTGGCAAGACAAGACAGTAAATATCTCAATTAGTAAAGTAAAGCAGCATGGATGAGAAATGCCCACAAGAAGATTAGGAGTTAGAAATAACTAAGCCAGTTAATTGAAGGAAACTTTTATATCACTTACCCATATTTAGAGAATAAAGAACCAACCTAATGTGTGTATGTGTGAGTGTGTGTGTGTTTGTGTGTATGTGTGTGTGCTCACACACATTGTCATTATCCACAGTGGTGCCAGTGATGAGGTCCTTTGCATTCTTCAGGTTCTAATTGTTTAGGAAGTTTCTCTCTTTAGGAGCCACTGTGATTGGATATTGACCCATCCCACTGGTCAATATCCAGTCACAGTGGGGTGAGATACATCGTCTTTGACTACAGAAGCTTCTCATCCTGCAGTTTCTTTCAGTGTGACCCAAAAGGGATCTTATTATGAAGTGCTGGGAGAAGTTTTTTATTTTCATATTTATATTCACATTACATGGCCTAATGTGTGAAAATATTTAATGAAAACATGCATGTGGTACTGCAGAATCATTTACTTGCCTCCAGATAGAATCTCCTACATTATATTTGAGATTCCGTTTTAAGCTTGGGAGGAAAAGCAGAGGTTATCTACAAAACTTAGTTTCAAGAATTTAAGTTTTGGGTGTATTGAGTCATGCTCTTCCTGTAACTTCAGGATCTTTAGGAAATATTGACCATTCAAAAGAAAAAAGATGGGCTTCCCTGGTGGCGCAGTGGTTGAGAGTCCGCCTTTCGTGCCCCGGTCTGGGAAGATCCCACGTGCCGCGGAGCGGCTAGGCCTGTGAGCCATGGCCGCTGAGCCTGCAGGTCCGGAGCCTGTGCTCCGCAACGGGAGAGGCCACAATAGTGAGAGGACCGCGTACCGCAAAAAAAAAAAAAAAGATTAATTGGCGGTACGTAACATTGAGAATATTATAGAGAACGGTGTTTGTGTTTTAAAGTTACAAAATAGCATTATTCAGTTGTCATGATTTTTTGATTTTTAAAGTTGCTTACTTTAGTCAATTTAGATTTATGGCAAGTATTTAACATTGTATGAAAGGTCCTTTGGAGTTTCTGCCTAAAGTAAGGGGGAGTCTGTAGAAAGACTGTTGTCTACTTATGCTTAACAATTTACTACGTATCAGCTCTCTGTGGTCTGTAGGGGAAATGATGGGGATTAGTGCATCTGTAGTTTAAATTTCTGTCTGTCTCCTCTCTGCCTTGTAGGCTGGAAAAAGATAGCATTCAGCAGAGCTTTAGCAACGATGCAAAGGCCCAAGCCCTTCAGGCCCAGCAAAGAGAGCAGGAGCTGACACAGAAGATACAGCAAATGGAGGCCCAGCATGACAAAACTGGTAGGTGGTAGGGAAAGATTAGAGCCTGGGCACTTGCTCACAAGCCAGGCCCACGCCTTACTGTGAAATGACATCAGGAACACCTGTAACCTTTGGCTGGCCGAAGGGAGCAGATGCTAACTACACCGGAGATTCCGAATTACATATTAGTTAGCGTTTAAAAGAGAAAATGGAAAGTATTGCCCACTGTCTGTTGATTTCAGAGTGCTGCTCTCACATCTGTTGCACCATCTGGATTATGAGTTTATTTACCTGTGTTCAAGAAACGTAAAGCTGAGAGAGACCACAACAAAGTAGAAAAACAAAGGGCTTGTTTTTGGCTGGGTTTTCAGGCACACATGTTATATAAAGAAAATAGCATCAGAAGCTCTGCGGGAAATGCTCTGAGCTTACAGTTAGAGCCTCCTGAATAGCATTGAACAGTTCCCACAGTACACACATTATAGCTACTCTAAAAGCCTAATGAGTTTGCTTCAGCATCCAAACTGGAGAAAAGCTTTAGCCATTAATCGGTTCTTAATTCACTGTCGCAGCTGGATGTAATTCAGTGGCTCCAAATTGATATGTTCCTTTATTTAATCTTTGCAGCTTCGAACATTTTTAGCATTTGTATGATTTCCCCACCTCCCCCAACCCAGTCTAGAGTGATGTTTAATCCTTTGCATTCTTCAAGTTCTCACAACTGCTGTTAAAATTCACTAATACAAGGCATTGACCACAGCTGGCAGCTTGGCTAAAAATTGCCATCTTTCATCACATTGGCACTATTCTGCAGACTGAGTTGGCCAGTAACTCTTTACCTTTAATTTGAAAGTAAAATGCACTTTGAAAATAGGCAGTTTGATTTGTTCAGTCAGAGCATTATGTAGTTCCTTTCACTTTTGAGTTGTGTGTTCACAGACAGTGTTAGTCAAAACAAGACAGTGTCAGTCATTATAATTCCACACCACATACACCAAGCTGATTGTACTATTAAAACAAAAGTTTAATTGATCCTGTTTCTTCCAGAAAAATGTTGATTAATTTTTAGTGCCTTGATTTATTTTGCTTTGTATGCTATATGCTTTTTTGTCAGTCATTGTCTAAAACTGAAAAGAAAGGGCCTGTTAAACTTTTCACCTAAAGATAATTTTCATGTGATTTGATGTATACTATATTTGATGACATGGTAATAAATGGTTGCTTATCCTGTAAGTGAAAAATTGCTAATGTAAAATTCATTAAATAATCTGTTTGCTAATAAAGAGGCAAATGTCATATTGATCCACATAATTCACTCCATCACTTTCAGTAGAGATTTTCTTCTCACAGTGTTTGGCCAGAAGAAATGAAAATTCTCCAGGCTTGGTAGTTGTTTTTCCACTAAAAACAAAAGGAGAAGATTACAGGATGAATTATTGTTTGCCTCCACTACTATCAGGATGCCGGTGATCAAGGAGTCTTGGGCAATATCTCTGAGTGCTAGATAAGAGTATTAACTGAACCACCATGAGAATACTTCCTTTTGTTTTGCACAAAAATACATACTCTCTTCAGTTTCTTTGATCAGCTCTTCATTGAAGCTCACACTAAATAGTTGGGGAAAATTATTTATTTCCAATAAAATAAGGAAAGTTATGTATTTTTCTTTTATGATTAGAGAAGTATATGCAAGATGGGAGTAGTGAAATATGTGAGCAGATATGAAACATAAAGCATGAATTACAGTGTAGAAAGAGTTCCTCAATTATTTTAGTTTTGAATTATCTGGTTGTGATAAATTTGACACTGTTTATAGTAGAATTATCAAAATAAAAATATATTGCATATTACAAAGATATAAGCATCTATGACTCCACTTGAGGTATTTGACAATTTATTAACATGTGAAAAATTACACAGAGCTGATATGATCAGAAATGTTTCTGTTGTGTAATTATTAGGGAAATAAATGTCTCACAAGCTTTAGTGTCTTGCCAGATGAGCATTCCTTTGACCTAGGACTGTAAAAGTGATCTAGCGTTTTATAGGAAAAGTGTGGTTGTCTTAGCACTTTTACCACTATACATGTGGAAGCACTGCAGAGCTACAACCATAAACATCTTATGTTGCCTGGGGGGGGGGTTATTGTTATTTCTAGAAAATGAACAGTATTCATTGCTGACCTCCCAGAATTCATTTCTGACAAAGTTAAAGGAAGAGTGCTGCACATTAGCCAAGAAACTGGAACAAATCTCTCAGAAAAGCAGGTGGGTAATATAATACAATACTTTCAGAGCACTGTTTATATGAATACTGTAATTTTTTTCTTAAAAGACAGTACTTCCACTATTTTATAGTCTAATGTCAAAATTAGATATGTATTGACATATTTCCTGTAAAAAACATTTTCTCTCTATGAGAATTTTCTTAATTATCCATACAGACACCTTGATGTTTTTTCATAATTAGGTATCCATACTATAATTTGACTTTTTTAACGTTCAGAATTGAAAACTATGAAATTTCAGAGCACAAAGGTCAAGATGGCATCCTTTTAATAAAGGATGCAGATAAATCAAGCAGTTCTAAAGTCATATTTTAACACAGCTAACATATTTTAGTCTATTATCATAGTTCTCCATGAACACATAAAAGCTATCTTTAAGGCAAATGATAATGGATAAAATATGAATGTATAAAAATAAAAGTAGATGATACTTTGAAATAAACCAAAACCATCTTTTCTTTCTCCTAAAATTGTTTTATTTTAATAAAATAGCCATCATTGATTTTGTAGGTACATGCTCTTTTATAAATCCACTGATTGGGTTCTTAATGAATTTTTTTCTGTACATTTTCTAATCATATTATCTCAATAAATGAATTACTTATATTCTAAATTCTAAGAAGCCTGAGTTCTCATCTTAGCTCTGACAGTAGCTGTGTAATCTTGGACAAATTTATTTGACCTGCTTGAACTGTGGTTTCCTCTTGTAAATGAATGATGTTGAACAGAGTCACTTTGACTTGAACTCAAAAGAAATCATTCATTTAACTAGCTAGGTATAAAATGTCGCATTACAGTATAACCTAATGGGAAAATAATCTGTGTATCTTCTCTTGCATACTTTTCTGAAACTCACTTAGATCATCAAAGAACAAGCAATAGGGCTCAGCAAACCAACTCCTGACTTAGGTTTATTATTCAGAAAGAATTTCTAGGAGGGTCAGAGCATGTCTGATCACTCTGAGCCCTATCTTGGGTTCCTGCATCAATAAGCTGGCTTACCTTATGGAATCCCCATCCCTGAATTTTTTTGAAAATCAGGGGGCTTATGAATCCAATTCTTTCTGCTCACAGGAAGGCAGAAGCTCCTATAACCACCCAGAATGTGCTCTGACCATGTACCTTCTTAGCGAATACTAATTAAGTATCTTGTTTGGGATGGGAAAAGGCTTAGGGTACCAAAATACCCAGTATTTTCAGGAAATTTGACAAGGAAACCCAAATAATTTTGCCGTGGAAGAGACCCTCATAATATATCAACAGGAGGTATTCCTAACTAGAAATATTTGATTTACCTCACATAGATATAAACAAACTAGATTAATAACTTAAGCAAAAATTATTTTGAATTGGGTCTTAAAAGATTGTGTTATCTTAAGATTGCTTTGGGGTTGATTATTGATTAATTATCTTGCTGTCTGAGGAGACATAATTGAGGAAATGGAAGTGTATAAAAGAGAAAGAGAAGCTATATGCTTGCTATATATTATTTAATTCTCACAACAGCTTGAGACATGAATTGTTATCTTCTTTTACAGAGGAGGAAACCAATACTCAGAGTGTTTAAATAGCTAGTAAGTAGGAGCACTAGAATTCTAACTTAGACATTTCTGGTTCCAAAGCCTATGATCTTTCTTACAATAAGTATAATTATTTTATATCTACTACTAAAGAAAATCCAGGCCAAAGTAGTTACAATGGGAAAGTTTAGGAAAGAAAAATTAATCTTTATATTTCCATGGAGAAGTAAGCATACTTGGCATGTGAGGGTTAACCTGTGAGCCTGGGTTAACCTGTGCCATGTGCCCTGAGGCCTTCTTTCCCCTGCTCTAGGTCTATCAATTTACCCTGTACTAGTCTAGTGAACTTGAACCTCAGCCTCTCTTCTCTTCAACTCCTCTCACTTCTGATTCTAGCTCCTGACTGCTACTTTGTAAATTGAATGTGTTCCTTTATGTCTGATACACAGCTGGCACCTGATACATATTTACTGAATGAATGAATGAAACAAACGAGCATGGTGCTACTACCCCCTGTATCCTGATCTGACTCTGGTTCCAGACTATTCCTTTGTTGATGACAGGCAGTGTGCAGTAAAAAACACTTTGGAATTCAGAAGGAACAAGGTTTGAATCTTGCTCTGACACTTAGCTTCATAACCTTGCATACATCGCTTAATTTCTCCAAACCTCAGCTTCTCCATCTGTAAAAACCTTTTAAAAACTATGTTGCAGGTTTATGGTGGGAATTAGTGATTTAGAGAGATGTATATAGGTACACACATATACATAGCACCTAACACCATGCTTGACCCATAGAAGTATACAGTAGGTGCTATTGCTGTCATTGATGGTATCATTTTAAGGGTCTTGACTGGCAATTAGGATATCACTTCACCTAGCTACTAATGTCTTGGCCAGAGTCTGAGTGCCATAATTCTCTGACAGACATAAAGTCTATACCACAGTGGAAAACCTTTCTGAAGGCAATGCAGGATCAGGAAAATGTGGATTTGGTTGTGTTTCAGCTCCTGCTCTGGTACCTCGTCTTGTAAGTCTGAAGAGTTAAAATAGGCATCTACTGTAACTTTATAAGTGGATCCGAAACTAAAACCTAGCAAATAATAAAGACTAGATAAGTTGTAACTTATTACTGTTAAAACTTTTAAGTGCCCCTAAAATTTACAAAATGTACATTTTGTGTGTCTCACAAGAAATTAGCATTATAAATAGGATAAATTGTGATTTGGTGGTGGGGGGGTTGTTCGTTTGTTTACTCTTAATTTCTCATTTCACTCTGGCTTCCTACATGAAAGACACTCCATTTTGATATTACCTTTGCTTTGAAAACACCTATAAAACTTGAAGGGCTCAGAGTGTTTCTTTTAAAGTAAAGCTATACATTTATTAAGTCTTGTAGAAGCCCTCCAGGAGTGAGCCTCTACATACCCTCTACTAAACTTTTAGGATAAATAATTCCCCCTGTGCTTTGAAGTGAGGAAATCCTGAAGTTTTCTGAGCTTTCTAAACTGTTGTCATTGTGAAAGCACGGTCTCCAAAATAATTATTTAGGCCCTATGGTAATTTTAATCCAGGTTTTCCTCAGAGTACTGCAGTAAAATTTTTCCTGAAAGTAAGTGTATTTATTTCATGTTGACTAACAATTTAAACATTTTTTTTGTCTAAGAGTTTCATGTTATTCAAAATCCCATACTAAATAAACGGATTCATACCATTTAAAATACGCTTTTTTTTTTTTTTTTTTAACTCACAGATCTAGTCCTCTGACTAGAGCCCCTGGGAAAGCTGACAATCTGGGAGCACCAATCCCAGACACTCTTACTCTCTATCCCATCCTCATGCTAGGCTGCTTTATGAAAGTGTTTAGAAATGGCTCCTCCGTGTGTGTGTCCTGTTGTATGGGTTTCTCCCCAAGTAGATGTAAGTCGCATTATGGCTGTGCCTATTGCTTCTGCTGTCTGCAAGCCCTCCACAGTGAAAAGCCGGTACTTCCTGCACAGTATGCCTTCCACACTGCTCGGGTGGTGTCTGTAACCCCAGGGTTTGTGAATGGCACATCCCATTTTAAAACTAAAAGTGAACTGCCAATTCCATGCATTTTATATAGCTTTTTTTTGAGCATCAGACAAGTAATTCCATTTTGCTTTTAATTGGCACTAGGCAGACATTCTGGCTGATTTTAGATGAAACTCACATAAACTTCAGCTCCCTTTTGTCTTTATTTCCCAGGACTCTGAGAGCTTATTACAGTGGTAGGGTTGTTTCTGAAGTTGGTAAATGGAGATATTTAAATATCTTTGGTGCAACTGTGATTTTTCTTTATCAAAGTGAAGGAGGTGTTCCCTGTCCCCAGGCACTTAGATGAATCAGCAGTAAAATGTTTGCAGTGCAGTTTGCAGTGCAATCTAAAACGTGGCCTGGGAAGAGCTCAGAGAGGTTGGGCACCGGCTAGGAAGGGAGCCTCTGCCAGCTGCAGAATGGAGATCCAGCATGTGCTAGGTTTTCACCTCTCAACACTTCTGCCCCAGTAAAAAGAAAAGGATATAGAGCATAGAACTGGGGTCTGCATGGTTTTGCTTCTCTTTCTTTTCTATCATTGTCACTGTCTGGGTTGCTAGGTTCGTGGATTGATGTCTAACACTACCCATTGTATATTTGTGATTTGCGTTTTGTAATTAAGAGGAACAATGGGAGTCCATTGGGTCTCGTTATATATAATGGTTGGTTTAATTTGTTTCGCTTCTATCTTGTTAATTGTAAATTGATCATTAAGATTTGAATTCTAATCTGTCACCAGGGTTGTGGGTATTGAGGCTAGAGCAATGATCCTGGCTTTAATCACTGATGATGAGAAACAAATTTTATAATTTTGGTACATATTGCAGTTCATATATTTTAACACTGTATTTTATGGTGTTATAAATATTGTTAAATGACTTTTAGTGTAGTTTTACTGTGTGGACTATAATGTATAAATTATATTACTGTTTTGGCAACAGTAGGTATCCAACTGTGTGAGTTTAATTGAAGTAAAGAACACATACCCGGTTGAACTATTTTTTTTCCCTGGCATGTTCAGATGATGTTAGTTTGGGATGCTACAAAAATTATATTCTACAAGAAGAAACTGATAATGTCCTCTGCTAATTATTACCGAAAGTTGAATGAGACTCTAAAAGAGTAAAAAATTAAGGGGTCATGTTTTTCTTTAAAAAGCAATTATCACTGTAATCCTAATTATCGTAGTAAAATATTATACTTCATGAAAATGTAATTACACAGTATAACTGGTATATAAAAATGCAGTGAGAAGTTCATGCTTCTGTAAAGGCAGAAATTACCTAAATTTTCTATGAAAATGGATTAGAATCAATTTTCTTTTTATATGACACTAGGATAATCATGCCACAAATGTAATCTCAAGCTAACATAGAAGCTCGTAAGTTTACTTTTTGAACTTTGTAAACTGCTAGTTCTTTCAATATATCATGGACTCTAGACAGATAAAAGATGATGTCCATGTACATATACCAAATTTTTATTGAACATTGGAAGTTGGTAGGCAAATTACTATTATAAACAAAGAAAAGCATACAGATAAAATATGCAAAGCAGAAAAGTACTGTAGCAATAAAATACTTGATAGTAATATGTACTTTACAATTAACATTTATATTTTTGAAATTCTGTATATAAGATATCCTCAATATAGGGCATTTGGTTATAAATGCAAAGAAAAATTAAGGAAAAAAATTTCCTGTAACATTACCATCCAGCTAACTATGGTTAACTTTTGACATGTTTACTTTCAGTCATTTTCCATGTGTAGGTAAATGTGTATGTTACCATGCACTTATATTGTGAGTGATATACATATGTGTGTGTGTGTATATATATATATATATATATATATATACAGTTTTACATCCTGCTTTTTTTACTTAATATTATCTGATGAACACTTTTCTACATCAGTAAATACTCAGGAAACATAATTTTAGTTGAATCATTTGTATGAATAATAATTCATCAGAATTTTAAACTCTTTTAAAATGTAATGAATAATATAATAATAATTTTATACATAAATCTGAATTTTTTCATGATTTTCTTAGTTGAGATGTCTAAAAGGGGATTGCTGGTCCAAAGACTGTGAACCCTGTTAAGGCTGTTAATGTGTATGACTTTGCTCAAGTACTGCACTAAATTCTGCTCAGTATATATGTGTACATAGCAGTTTGTGACAAAAGAAGTGAGAGGTTTTTCAAAAAAGGAGTGAGGGGCCATGTTGCACAGTGGGTGGGACAACCCCTTTAGAGTTGGACAGACCAGTGTTTGTGTCTGGGCTTGGGTAATCACCATTTAGGTGACCTTAGGCGAATTATTAAACCTCATATTTACCTCCCAGAGAAAAGGGAATAAACACTTACCTTGTAGGATTAATTGAGATCATAATGTAAAGGATGAATTCCACTACCTAGTGTAGTGTAGGCATACAGTAAATGTTTTATTAGGCATTTCTTTGAATAATAGGGAAATTGAATGTTTTATAAATGTTTATTGATCATTTATGTTTCTTCCTCTGTATTTTTCATATCCCTTGTACTTTTTTAATTGGAATTTTGATGAAGAGTGGGGATAGCAGTTTATTATATAATGCGTCTAATATTCATTTGTCTCATTTTTTACGTTCCCTTTTTTTAATTTCGAAAAATTTGTTCCCAGTTCCTTTTGTTTCTTAAGAATTTTTTCAAAATCAAGGTGACTTTATTTTTTGTTTTAAATATTACAATACATGTCCATTGTAAAAATTCAGAAAATACAGAAAAGGAAAAAAAATATTTTATATTGCTAATCTGGACACCAAGAGATAATCAATATTAATATGTGGAATACATGTCAAAATATTTTTTATTTTATAAAATAAAATTACCTTATGCTGATTTTTAATATTTTCCTTTTTTACCAATATGCCATATTTTTAGGTCAATATATAACACCAATAAATAGCCATATTATCAGAATAGCATCTTGATATTTCTTTTTTAAAGTAATGTAACTAATCATCTGTTGATACATTTCTGGGTTAAGTTTTCATATATTGGGTTGCAGAGCAAGGTTGTTTCTAGAAACAGTGCTACAAGGAACATGCTCATAAAAACATGATTTTGTTGTATGTAAAAGCTTTATATTCTTATATTGTAAAATCTATGTTTCCTTCGTGACTTTTCAAAAGTGACTTGTTTTTCTGGGAAAGTACCTGAGAACAGATAAATATTCTTATGCATTTTTTTCTAATGCAGTTTAAGGATATTTTTGGGCCTTTTGGAATTTTAGTGCATAGTGCATATTGTGATAGGAAATACTAATCGTGGAAGAATACTAAATTAAAAATTTCATATAACTGCTCCTAAATTCTTTTATATTGTATGTGATTTTGAAAGGATAGACATAGTCATTATTTACTTATTTAGACTATTTCAAATATAAGTAAATTCTTATTAGAAGAAGTAAATATAGATTGAGTGCTTAATCTGAGCTTGAAAATGAGATAATCCATGCCCTTGTGTGTAATCTGTAATCTAGCAAGAAGGATGAGGCACAGAGCACAATTCACAGGAATAAATTATAAGCTAATGTATGCATAAAAGCTAGAGGTAGTTTCAAAAAATGTGCTGGCATACTGAGAACTGCAGGTATTAATCAGAGCAAGCTTTCTTCGAGATGAAACTTGAACCAAGGTGAAAACAAAATGAGGAATTAGGTGAACTAAAAGCGAGCAATTGCTTCATGCCATGTGAAGCAGCTTGGTCCTTGGGATAAATTCCCTTAGCAAATCCAAATCTTTTCCAGGAAAAAAAAAAAAAAAAAAAGGCTATGTCACCTAATGGAGGAATCCTTTCTTTGGAGGGAAATAATTTTACATCAAGCATCTCACATAAACCTCAAGAAACGAACCAGTTGTTAACTACTTGTATTTTAATGTGCAAGACTTCTAAGCTTTCAGTTCTAACCTATGAGGCAGTGGAGTATGAGGAGATGGTGGAGTAAGTAGTAATGTTTAATTAAATCAAGGACAAAGTACAATTTTTCTTGGACAAATGTCTCTCTTAGCTTCAAATTTTGAGCCTTGAAATGGCCATCCAAGACACTGAAGAAGTAACGTTATTTCCTCACAAACACCAATCATCACCAAAGTAGATAGATATCTGTAATCCCAAATGAAATAATGTGAAAACAGAAAGAAAATTGGGGGAATGGTACCTCACTTAGCAAATGGAGGAAGGTGAGTCTTAAATGTCTGCAGACAGGGATACTTGTATGTGAAGCAAGCTGATCTGCTCTCAGGATCCCAGAAAGACTTAGAAGGCAGGAGTGGAATATAGGACTGAAGCCAAAGTTGACAGTTCTACCCCCACCCCATGCAGCCAGGTGACTATCCCTCCTCCACCCAGAAAACTAGGAGCTTCCCCTCTGAAGAGATTAAACCAGCAGGCACTGGTGAAAATAGCTGCACTGAAATTAGAATAGAAGAATTAATTAAAAGTCTACATTCTGAAAGGTGAGTACACCACCCCTCTATTTCCAACCAGCTCCTAGACCACTGATGGTTAGGGTTGTACACAACAAGCAGGAAAATGGAGAATCCTTCTTTTGAGAAACAGAATGGCCACAGGGGAAAGAATTACGGATGCTGATAATATTGGGAATCTCCCATCAGAAAAGATGGCTTGCCACTCAATCATTCTACACTAAAGCCCACTTGTTTAGGGAAAATAAATGTACACAAATGCATGTGTAATCATAATATACTCCTTAAACAACAAGGACCAATATTTATGTAGTTGTTATGACATAAAACTGATACTGATTTAACTACAAACTGAAATATTAGTAATTACATTGACAAGCTGGAGGTGGAGTCAGGGGGCAGAGAACCACCATTTTTTTTTTTTTTTTTTGTGGTACGCAGGCCTCTCACTGTTGTGGCCTCTCCCATTGCGGAGCACAGGCCCTGGATGCGCAGGCTCAGCGGCCATGGCTCACAGGCCTAGCCGCTCCATGGCATGTGGGATCTTCCCAGACCGGGGCACGAACCCGTGTCCCCTGCATCAGCAGGCGGACTCTCAACCACTGCCCCACCAGGGAAGCCTCACCATTTTTTAAAACTATATGATTTTAATCATGTACCATTAAATTAGCTATGTTAATTAAAAGAAACAACTCTCTGTCAGAAATTAGGCCTGGGGTTGTTCCTGTAACAGCATGGTAGCTGGCCTGTAATAGATACTTACTAAATATTTGGTAAATTAATAGCTGTCTTTTTAAAAACGGGATTTGATTATTATCATTTTTGTCCTGTTCCTTGAAAAAACTCTCTCTGTTGTTGTTATTCCTCTTTCTGTCTACCAGTTGAGTTCCTGCAGTGTGTATATCCTTCTACTAGACATTCTGTAATTTCTGAAATATTTTACATAAAATAATTTTTATTGACACTGTTATGTTTAAGTACAGAGTTCAAGAAAATGATAAGGTTATACAATAAAAACATGGTCTGGTAATAAGAACCTTTAACATCAGTCACTTCTGTGTTTACACCTCTCTAGATCTGAAATAGCTCAGCTCAGTCAAGAAAAAAGGTATACATGTGACAAACTGGAAAAGTTACAGAGAAGAAATGATGAATTGGAGGAACAGTGTGTCCAGCATGGGAGACTACATGAGATAATGAAGCAAAGGTAATAAAGACTTAATAATCAACTGATGTGCCACATATTGAATGTGTTTGGTTCAAAAACAGAATGGGAATTGCTGTGGAATAAATAGAATTCATGGTTACTATGGTACTCAAGGAACATGCTTAAAATCTAATATTTCTATATATTTATGCTTTCTCAATTTAGGTTGTTCTTATAATACACAGAGAGGAGAGCACATTCCCTCTTTACTATTCTCTAAAGACACAGAAGTAGATTTAATATAGAACACTGTAGGAAAACCATCTACCTTTAAGGTGCAAGCTGGTAATGTAATATGCAGGAATTTCAAAACTTCTCTTCTAGAAATTAGGTTTTGTATGTATTTTTGTAAGATACAACATGTAAGGCCTAAGAAGGTTAAATATATTGCTAGAGTCAGAATTTGACTCCAGACCCTTTGGTTCTTTCTAGTGGTGTACTTTGAGCAAGTTACTTAACCTCTCTGAGCATCAGTTTCTTCATCTATATATTGGAGCTAACAATAGCCACTTTGCAGTTTGGTATAAAGATCAAATATAATATATGTAAAGCACCTGGCTCATAATAGCCACCTACTAAATGGAATCAATATTTACTCTCTTTTTCTAGATGGAGAAGCTCAAGCTGAGAGATACTAATGTATTTGCTCAAAGTGCCATATTGAGTAAGTTGGTAGAGTTCAAACTTGAATCATGATCTTTTGATTCCAAATTCCTTTCCTTTTTTGTGCAGTATTTTTTTGTGTGTGAAAAACACAGTCCCTTATATTTACTATAAATGTGTCACTCCTAATTTCTATATAGTGATGAATTACCCAGGAAAAAAAATCTCAGCAATCGCATACATAACAGCAGTTAACCTTCCAGTGGACATGGTTTTCTTGGCATCCATCTCCCCATTTCTATCCCATCCCCAGACACCCCAGGCCTACTCTGTTTCAAAATCAATTGTTCATATAACTGAGGGGAAAAGAAAATATTTAAATACTCCCTTTATCATAATTTTTTAAAGTAAACATAGAGTCCCTCGGCAGGGGCAGGAGGAATGTTTATAAATTTGATCACTTTCTCTATTGAAGAGAAGAAAGGTAGTCAGAAAATGACACCAAAATATTAAAAGGTGAGTATATTTATAAAGAATTAATCATTCATTTATTTTCTAAGCCAGAGATCAGCAAACTATTTCTGTAAAGGACCAGAGAGTAAAATATTTTAGGCTTCCTGGGCCACGAGTAGTCTCTGTCACGTAGTCTTTGTTTTGGTTTTCTTTACAACCCTTTAAAAAGACAAAAACCATTCTTAGCTAGAAGCCCAACAAAATGAGTGAAAAGATTTGGACCTTGGGCTATAATTTGCTCCTGTACTATGCAACCAACTCATCTTTCTAATATTTCTTTTCTTACATCTGTATATTGTTTTAGAGTTCACAAAATTCACCTCACGCATGTTTTCTTACCTGAAACAAACCTGGGAAGTAGTTGTTATTATCATCTTCCTTTCCAGGTGGAAAACTAAGGCTCAGAAAGATAAAGTTGCCAACTGAAGGTCAGATAGTAAATTAATCATTCATTCATTGATATGAATGATAGTAAATTCATTCATTCAACAAATATTTATTGATTGCTACCATGTGTCATGTTCTCCACCACATGCTGGGAATAAAATAGCAAAGTAAATATAATTCCTAGTCTAATGGAGTTTACAGCCTTATAGGGAAGATAGATATTGACAAGAGAATTTCACAGATATCTAATTAATTGCAGTAATGATTAGTTATATGAAAGGGAAATATACTTTGTGGTATAAGCACATTTAATAAGGTGACTTACCCTGATCAGAAGAAGTTTCAATGAAAAAATGACACTTGAAATGAATCTGTGAGTGACAATATAGGGATTATTAGTCCTAGGGCAGGAGCTGGCAAATTGCACCCCAGCCCAAGCCCATTTTGTGTGGCTCAAGAACATAGTCATGCTCATTTGTTTACATGTTATCTGTGGCTCCTTTCACCCTACAATGAGTAGGTGAGTCAAAGACTGGCCTATTGGCTCACAAAGCCTAAAATATTTACTATCTCGCCCTCTCCTAAAAAAGTTTGCCAGCTCCTCTTCTAGAGAAAAGAAAACTGTAAATTGAAGGTCCTGAGATAGGACTTTTAAAGAAGGAAAGAAACTGTGTTTAACATAAAGAATAATGGAAAAAATAGCATGTGATGAGGTTGGAGAGGCAGGTGAGGGCCGGATAAAGACAAGGCCTTTAAGTTTTTATTGTAGACCTTTCACTTTATCCTTTTACTAAAAGGAAGATATTAAAAGATTTTTTAAAAAACAAAGGAGAATTATGTGATCAAATTTGCATTTTAAAAATAGCATTCCAGCTCCAGAGTTGATAATGGATTGGAGCAGAGCCATGGTGTTTACAGAAGACCAGTTAGGGAGCTAGTAGAGCAGTTAATCAAGTGATGATGATGGCTTAGATTGAACTGATAATAATGGTGCTAGAAGTAAACAGATTGGTGAAATATATAGGAGGTGAAATCAACAGGACTTAATGACTGATTGGCTATGTTGGGTAGAGAATAGTGCATATCCATATTTCTGACATGAGCAATACGTACATAGTGGTAGTACTTAGTGAGAATAGAAAATACACAAAATAAGGAGGTTTGTGGTCGAGATGGCCTGGGTTTGGGATAAGATCAAGGGTTAGGTTTCGACCCTGTTGAATTTAATGTTCAAGAGCATTGTACAAATGGGTATGTTGAATAAGCATGGAGACACAAGGGACTAAGCTCAGGAGTGAGGACTGGGCTGGAGATAGAAATCCCCACTGGCTTACAGAGAATATTAGAAACCTTGGGAGTAAGTGTGGTCACCTAGAGAAATAAAGTGAGAAGGAAGATTGGCTTACTGAATCCTAAAGAACATCAAAAGTTTTAAAGGTAAGATAACCTGAGAAATAAGTAGAAACTGAAAAGGCTTGTTATCATGCATGCCGACAGATGGAAATACTTCAGGAAAGAGGAGGTGATCTACCAGATGCTGCTGAGTGATTAAATAAGACTGAAAAGTATCCATTGGACTTAGTGACATGGACAGCACTGGTTATGTTAACAAAAATATTTGTACTGGAAGAGTGGGTACAGAAATCATATAATATGGATTGAAAACAGTGTGAGTTGAAAAATTGAAATAGCAAATTTAAACCACTTTTTCACAAGATTTGGGTGCACAGAAAAGAGGGAAGCAAGAGAAAGCAAGTGACAGACCAACCAACTGGTGGTGGGTAGATGTATTGGGAGGGGCATTTTGGAAAAGACAATTTTTTGAGTTGCAGTAGATGTGAACTTATTAAATTCTGATTGCCAAGATTATTAAAGTTTTAAAGTCAGGAAAGTTACATTTTCCAGCTGGTAGTTTGGAACCCTTGGTGTCCACAAAGGCAGACCAGGGAATTCAGGCTAAAGATAGCAATGGTATTTCTTTCTAGTTATATTTTAAAATAAGTATTGATTCATATATTTCTCCCTAGAAAGTAGAACCGCGTGAGAACTCCACAGTGTATACACAGGGAGCAAGCCCTCGAGCTAGTGGAAATGGGCTGAACGCACTCATGTGTTCTCATGTGATTTAGTATTATGTCACCAACCCCCAGAAATCCTGGTTGTTTTTTTGGTTATACACTTTCACATTTTTTAAAATTTCTTATGGTAGTGTATTGTTTAAATTATATACATAAAAACCATTGAATGGGGACTTCCCCGGTGACAGTGGTTAAGAATCCGCCTGTCAATGCAGGAGACACGGGTTCGATCCCTGGTCCGGGAAGATCCCACATACTGTGGAGCAACTAAGCCCGTGCGCCACAACTACTGAGCCTGCACTGTAGAGCCCATGAGCACTGAGCCCGTGTACCACAACTACTGAAGCCCGTGTGCCTAGAACCCGTGCTCCACAACAAGAGAAGCCCATGCACAGCAATGAAGAGTAGCCCTGGCTCACTGCAACTAGAGGAAAGCCCACGAACAGCAACGAAGACCCAACACAGCCAAAAGAAAAAAAAAGATAATAATAATTAATAAATAAATAATTTAAAAAAACATTGAATGATGACATGAAGCTGCTGACTGAAATGTAACAAACTAATTATTAATTTAGAACTGGTAATTCTTTTATAAACTGCCTCACAATGATCTTTAACAAATCTGTAAGCTGTATTTTTCTAATAGAAATTTTATTCCTTGAAAACTAGGGTTAAAAATAAGAAGTAAAATATTGATTTTTATCTAATTCAACGTTAAATTTTGGAGGACTGTTCATTATTTTCTGAGAAGTCCTTGAAAAAACAAAATATTGGCAAATAGAATCCAACAGCATTTAAAAAGAATTACACACCACAGTCAAGTAGGATTTATTCTAAGTATGCAAGTCTGGTTCATTATTTGAAAATTAAATGTAATCTATCACATCAATAAGCTAAAAAAGAAAAATCGCATGATCACATTAATAGATGCAGAAAAAGCTTTTGACAAAATCCAAACACATTCATGATTTTAAAAAACTCTCAGTAAACTAGAAATAGAGGGAAACTTTCTCAACTTGATAAAGAATATCTTAAAAAAAAAAAACCTACAGCTAACATTATACTTAATGGTGAGAAACTCAAAGCTTTCCCCATTGATCAGGTGTAAGTCAAGGTTACTCCCTTTTACCCATCCTTTTCAACATCATACTGGAAGTAATGCAATAAGACAAGAAAAGGAAATAAAAGGTATAAAGACTGGGAGGGAAGAGGAATAAAAACCTTTCTTGATTGCAAGATGACATGATCATCTATGTAGAAAATCTGAAAGAATTGATGAAAAATTCTTGGAACTAAAAAGCAATTATGGCAGGTTGCAAGGTACAAGGTTAATATCTGAAAGTTATTTGCTTTCCTATATACCAGCAATGAACAAGTGGAATTTGAAATTAAAAACACAATACCGTTTACATTAGCCCC